GATTGGTACCCGATTGACAATAATTCGACCTGCTGATAGCCGATTGATGACTGATGGTCAACAATATCCAATCGGCAACCAATCGGTCAACTTCCAATATAGATGACAGATGGCTGATTGTTTACCGATTGTTAAACTGGCACCAATCAGTCACCAATCGGCACCAATCGGTCATACAACTGATGTGTAGCCGATTGAAATAAATGCCTGATTGATGACCAGTTGGTATCTGAATGAATGAATCAGTAACAGATCAGCTACCAATCAGGTACCAATCAGTTATATGACCGATTGATGACCGGTATATTATATTTCGACCTGTGTCATCGAAAAGCTTTCTCTTCTTTTTTGTGTCCTCCCGACTTGCCATCCCAAAGTCAATCAGGTAGATGTCGCCATTGTCATTAATTAAGATGTTTTCCTCCCGAGTGTCATTGTGGAGGATATTATGCTTGTGAATCGCTTCTAATCCCTTAATAGCCCTCGACCTTTGCCGTTTCATTATTTTATGGTCGCTCAACATAGTGCCGATAATGGTCAAGCCGATAACGAAGCTCATACCTCCTCCATAATATCCATAACAGATCAGCTTTGGGATATACTTACCTTGAATATCAGCTAGATCTTTATAAATCTCGACTTCTTTTTGCATTTCTTCCAGGATATACGATGGAGCCTTCGATAAGTCTGCACTCTTCAGAGCAATCATATCTCCACGAAATTCGCATAGGAGGGTTTTCCCACTTCGTCCTTCACCTAATATGCTCTTGAACTTGAAGTCTGAGAAGCTATAATTATTCTGCTTAACAGAAGTGTTAGAAGATAATTGTTGATTCGCAAAGGTGCTGGAAGATTGTTGTTGATTTAATGAGGAGTTGGACGATGACTTTGAGTGTGACCGAAGAGTACGTGAATCATTGTCCCCTTGAACCGGTACTACTACTTGAGGTTTAGGAGACTTGGGATTCTCTTTCGCCCGTCGAGTTAGATATGCATATGCCTTGAGAACTGGTGGAGATTCGGACTGAAGTGAGAGAGTTTTTGAGATCCAGAGATCTGTATGCTCTCGACGTAGGAACTAGTGATTATCATAGGTGGTAAGAATGCCATATCTAAGTTCGTTTCCTCCCATATAATTATAGATTTGTTGAACTACATCCTTGCCCTTACTCGTCTGATAAAACTCAGAAAATGTCTGTTCGCCCATATCTTCTAAAACATGCTTTCTTTTAGCCTCCATCACCAAGATCAATGAACCCACGAGATGACAGTTGAAATCTGGTATGCCGGGAGTGTCAGTAGATTTCCTTGAATATACATAGTCTGGTCCTGTAAGATCATTCAATATCATACAAATATTAACATTTATGGCATTACGAACATCCTCTTCATCGACCACAGCAAATTTATCATTAAATCTTGGCCTCTCAAATATCGGCTGTTGGTCGAAGCGGAATTGATTCACTTTATCGAAAAAGTCCCCCCAAAGCTGTACACTTGCAGGCGGGTCACCAACAGCCTTTGTAGTGGTCTTCGAGGTAACGCAGTCCGTAGAATATGTTATGGGTGGCGGAATACACGACAACGCCTCTTCCAAGCTGAGAACTGGAAACGAATATGTGTTATTATTACTAGGGCAAATGACGAAAAATTAGACTATACCAGAC